GAAATATGGAAAGCAGCTAATGTGGTCCCAATATACAAAAAGGGTGACAGACAAGAGGCACTGAACTACAGGCCAGTGTCCTTAACTTGTATACCATGCAAGGTGATGGAGAAGATCGTGATACATAACCTGGTAACACATCTGGAGAGAAGGGACTTCGTGACAACCCTTCAACATGGGTTCAGGGAGGGTAAATCTTGCCTTACAGGCTTAATAGAATGCTACGAACAAGTGACAAAGATTAAGCAAGAAAGAGAAGGCTGGGCGGACTGCATTCTTTTGGACTGTCAGAAAGCCTTTGACACAGTATCCCACAAAAGGCTGATGCATAAGCTGGAGAAACAGGCAGGAGTAACTGGTAGGGCGCTCCAGTGGATAAGGGGTACCTAAGCAATAGGAAGCAGAGTGTTACAGTGAGGGGTGAGACCTCAGATTGGCGTGAAGTCTACAGTGGGGTCCCACAGAGCCCTGTATTCGGACCTATTCTGTTTCTGATATACGTAAATGATCTCCCAGAGGGTATAGACTTATTCCTCTCAATGTTTACCTGGTTGATACCTGGTTGATGGGGTTCTGGGAGTTCTTCTACTCCCCAAGCCCGGCCCGAGGCCAGGCTCGACTTGTGAGAGTTTGGTCCACCAGGCTGTTGCTTGGAGCGGCCCGCAGGCCTACATACCCACCACAGCCCGGTTGGTCCGGCACTCCTTGGAGGAATAAATCTAGTTTCCTCTTGAAAATGTCCACGGTTGTTCCGGCAATATTTCTTATGCTTGCTGGGAGGACGTTGAACAACCGCGGACCTCTGATGTTTATACAGTGTTCTCTGATTGTGCCTATGGCACCTCTGCTCTTCATTGGTTCTATTCTACATTTTCTTCCATGTCGTTCACTCCAGTACGTTGTTATTTTACTGTGTAGATTTGGTACTTGGCCCTCCAGTATCTTCCAGGTGTATATTATTTGATATCTCTCTCGTCTTCTTTCTAGTGAGTACATTTGGAGGGCTTTGAGACGATCCCAATAATTTAGGTGCTTTATTGCGTCTATGCGTGCCGTATATGTTCTCTGTATTCCCTCTATTTCAGCAATCTCTCCTGCTTTGAAGGGGGAAGTGAGTACTGAGCAGTACTCAAGACGGGACAACACCAGTGCCTTGAAGAGTACAACCATTGTGATGGGATCCCTGGATTTGAAAGTTCTCGTAATCCATCCTATCATTTTTCTGGCTGTCGCAATATTTGCTTGGTTATGCTCCTTAAACGTTAGGTCGTCAGACATTATTATTCCCAAATCCTTTACATGCTGTTTTCCTACTATGGGTACATTTGATTGTGTTTTATACTCTGTATTATGTTTAAGGTCCTCATTTTTACCGTACCTGAGTACCTGGAATTTATCACTGTTAAACATCATGTTATTTTCTGATGCCCAGTCGAAAACTTTATTAATATCAGCTTGAAGTTTTTCAATGTCCTCAGCCGAGGTAATTTTCATACTGATTTTTGTGTCATCTGCAAAGGATGATACGAAGCTGTGACTTGTATTTTTGTCTATATCTGATATGAGAATAAGGAAAAGCAGTGGTGCAAGGACTGTACCCTGAGGTACAGAGCTTTTCACTGCACTTGGACTAGATTTTATATGGTTGACAGTTACTCGCTGAGTCCTGTTTGACAGAAAACTGAGTATCCAGCGTCCTACTTTACCGGTTATTCCCATTGACTTCATTTTGTGTGCTATCACGCCATGGTCACATTTATCGAAGGCCTTTGCGAAGTCCGTGTATATCACATCAGCATTCTGTTTCTCTTCTAATGCCTCAGTGACTTTGTCGTAGTGCTCAAGTAGCTGTGAGAGGCACGATCTTCCCGCTCGAAATCCATGTTGGCCTGGGTTGTGAAGGTCATTGGTCTCCATGAAATTGGTGACCTGACTCCTAATCACTCTCTCAAATACTTTTATGATGTGCGATGTTAGTGCAACTGGTCTATAATTTTTTGCCAATGCTTTGCTCCCTCCCTTGTGTAGAGGGGCTATGTCTGCTACTTTAAGTGCATCTGGTATCTCCCCCGTGTCCAAGCTCTTCCTCCACACTATACTGAGTGCCTGTGCTACCGGCACTTTGCATTTCTTTATAAATATTGAATTCCATGAGTCTGGACCTGGGGCCGAGTGCATGGGCATGTTTTCAATTTCTTTTTCAAAATTTAGTGCGCTCGTGTTTATATCAGTTATATTTACCGGGGTTTGAATATCCCGCATAAAGAAATTGTCTGGATCTTCCACCTTCATGTTGTTTATTGGAGTGCTAAACATGTCCTCATACTGCTTTTTTAGGATTTCACTAATTTCTTTGTCATCCTCCGTGTATGAACCTTCACTTGTACGAATAGGTCCAATACTGGCAGTGGTTTTTGCTTTTGATTTCGCATATGAGAAGAAATATTTTGGATTTTTCTTTATTTCCTGAATTGCTTTCTGTTCTAACTGCCTTTCTTCAGTTTCATATGAGTGTTTCAATTTCCGCTCGATTTCTTCAATCTCCCTATTTAAATTATTCCTTCTTTGACGGGAAATTCGTGTCTGCATAAGCAGTTCCGTTATTTTTTTCCTGCGTTTATAGTGTCGTCTGCGTTCTCTTTCTACGTTAGATCTCTTTCTGGCTTTCCTCAAAGGAACATGTTTCAGACAGACTTGATACGCTTCTGAAGTAAGTTTTTCTATTCCTTCTGTAGGACTTGTATTATTTAGAACAGTTCCCCATGGAATGTTTGTAAGTTCCCTGTTTATTATCTCCCAGTCTATCCTTTTATTATTAAAATTGAATTTACTGAATAGCCCCTCTCGCTTTATCAACGTTTTAAGTCTATTCTGAGTATCGATGGTCGACAGATGAGGACTGCTTGAAGCTTCAAGAAGACCTAGTCCAGCTGCAGGAATGGTCAAACAAATGGTTGTTAGAGTTTAACCCAAGCAACTGTAATGTAATGAAGATAGGTGTAGGGAGCAGGAGACCAGATACAAGGTATCATTTGGGAGATGAAATACTTCAAGAGTCAAAGAGAGAAGGGAAGGGAACTATCAGGAGAAAGCACTAAGCCATTACGACTAAATAGCACTGGGAAGGGGTCAGAATAAGGATTTGGGATGGGACTGGGGGAAAGGAATGGTGCCCAACCACTTGGACGGTCGGGGATTGAACGCCAACTTGCATGAAGCGAGACCGTCGCTCTACCGTCCAGCCCAAGTAGTTGGACTTTCAAAGAGAGAGAAAGACCTGGGGGTTGATATCAGGCCAGACCTGTCCCCTGAAGCCCCTATCAAGAGGATCACATCAGCGACATATGCCAGGTTGGCCAACATAAGAACGGCATTTAGAAACTTGCGTAAGGAATCATTCAGAACTTTGTATACCATTTATGTCAGAATAATATCGGAGTGTGCAGCTCCAGCATGGAGTCCATATCTAGTCAAGCATAAGACTAAACTGGAAAAGGTTTAAAGGTTTGCCACCAGGCTAAAACCGGAACTGAGGGGTATGAGCTACAAGGAGAGACTATGGGAATTAAACCTCACGTCACTGGGAGACAGACGAATTAGGGGGGACATGATCACCACATACAATATTTTCAGAGGAATTGATAGGGTAGATAAAGACAAACTATTTAACACCAGGGGCACGTGCACTAGGGGACACAGGTGGAAATTGAGTGCCCAAATGAGGCATCTCTTCTTGAGATGATTTCGGGGCTTTTAGTGTCCCCGCGGCCCGGTCCTCGACCAGGCCTCCACCCCCAGGAAGCAGCCCGTGACAGCTGACTAACACCCAGGTACCTATTTTACTGCTAGGTAACAGGGGCATAGGGTGAAAGAAACTCTGCCCATTGTTTCTCGCCAGCACCTGGGATTGAACCCAGGACCACAGGATCACAAGACCCGCGTGCTGTCCGCTCGGCCGACCGGCTCCCTCTCTCCCTCCCGGCATAGAGACATTAGAAAGAATTTTTTCAGTGTCAGAGTAGTAGACAAATGGAATGCATTAGGAAGTGATGTGGTGGAGGCTGACTCCATACACAGTTTCAAGTTTAGATATGATAGAGCCCAGTAAGCTCAGGAACCTGTACCCCAGTTGATTGACAGTTAAGAGGCGGGACCAAAGAGGCAGAGCTCAACCCCCGCAAGCACAACTAGGTAACTAGGTTAGTACCACTGCCCCCCCCTGGTGGCCACCACCACCACTGCGTCCCCCCCCCCCCCGGTGACCACCACCACCACTGCCCCCAGGCAAGCAGCACCAACCAGGCCGGGTCAGGCTGACCAAAACGTAATATCAAGCCAGTCGGGATTTTGCAATAGTCGATGCTTCGCCCCGGGTGTAACTCAGCCTCACTTTTATTACTTCCTTTTGTATACTCTGCCTCCACTCTTCTCCCACAAAATTCCGTTGGTGATGCCTATGATTCTTCCCGATAACTTGAAGCCATTTTCAAGGTTGGGGTGGAGAGGGGTAGTGATGACACCCTTCACCAGAGAGTAAGGGGAAGCTGGGTAGACCTTGTGACCTTGCCGGCAAGTTTGGCTCCTGACAAGGTCACTTGCATTAGGGCTGACGACTGACCAACACTTACCTGAAACAACCACACAGACTTGTCCTCGGTGAATGACTTGGTGACTGGTACAGAGTATCGTATTCCCTAGTTCGGTGCAATATGATTCAATATAATTTTTAAGAACACCACTCGGTCTTTATATAGCGTGATCATGCTTCGTGGCGAGTTGACCAGATAGATCAGGATGCCCCTGGTGCCAGCTTGATGCCCCTGGTGCCAGCTTGATGTCCCTGGTGCCAGCTTGATGTCCCTGGTGCCAGCTTGATGTCCCTGGTGCCAGCGACCCTGGTGCCAGCTTGATGCCCCTGGTGCCAGCTTGATGTCCCTGGTGCCAGCGACCCTGGTGCCAGCTTGATGCCCCTGGTGCCAGCTTGATGTCCCTGGTGCCAGCTTGATGTCCCTGGTGCCAGCGACCCTGGTGCCAGCGACCCTGGTGCCAGCGACCCTAGTGCCAGCGACCCTGGTGCCAGCGACCCTGGTGCCAGCGACCCTGGTGCCAGCGACCCTGGTGCCAGCGACCCTAGTACCAGCGACCCTGGTGCCAGCGACCCTAGTACCAGCGACCCTGGTGCCAGCGACCCTAGTGCCAGCGACCCTGGTGCCAGCGACCCTGGTGCCAGCGACCCTGGTGCCAGCGACCCTGGTGCCAGCGACCCTAGTACCAGCTTACCTTACAGCAGCAGGTGGTGGAGACTCCCCGCCTCCTCACCTGGGATGAGTGGTCTTAACTCCACCTCTTCTTCTCCCGGACACTTTAGTCGTCATCACGACAAGTACATCACAGTGTAGCAGAACATTATTTTGTTATTAAGTCGTAATCTTGGCGTGGCGTTAGTGTCAGACTAAGACACATCTCAGTCTGCAAGTGTTAGTAAGCATGTCTTCTGTCCTCATCGGTTGATGAGTGTGGCACACGTCCGCCCTCTGATGAGTCGTGGTGTGCGAGGGACTGTGCCATTAGTGTGCCATTAGTGTGCCATTAAGGACAAAGCTCGCTGCTGCCGACGTAATCTCATCAATTTGTAATTATTTCTAAGACCGCAAAGTTAATTACGCTTTGCTACATCAGCAAAGATGTGTTATTGATGAAGCTTACCCTAGGGTCCACATCTGGTTGGTCAACCAGACTGTTGGGCGTGGCAGCTCGCAGCCTATGAATCACAGCCGGGTTGATACTGTACCTGTTATTACCTTAGCATTCTTGTTACACGCTTTTGGTCCACGACCATCTACCCTGGCTGTGTGAGTCATGAGTCTGGTCAGAGACCGGGCCATGGGGACATTGGTCCCCGAAACCAGAACATATACACACGAGAGAGAGAGAGGGAGAGGGAGAGGGAGAGGGAGGGAGGGAGGGAGGGAGGGAGGGAGGGAGGGAGAGGGAGAGGGAGAGAGAGGGAGAGAGAGAGAGAGAGAGAGAGAGAGAGAGAGAGAGAGAGAGAGAGAGAGAGAGAGAGAGAGAGAGAGAGAGAGAGAGAGAGAGAGAGAGAGAGAGAGAGCTCCCTCTCTCTCTATCCCTCACTTATCTCTCCCTCTCCCTCCCTCTCTATCCCTATTTCTATCTACCCGTCTCCCTCTCTATCCCTCTCCCTGTCTCCAGTCGACACCACACTACTCCCTGTGGAGTAGTGTGGTGTCGCAGTCCCGAGAGAGATCCGGAGCTTAGGTCATTAGCCATAACATCAGCGTCTTCCTAAACCAGTTCATCCCAGCCTGAACCTTCACATTGTTCCTCGTCTTTCAGATCTACAACACCCAGGTCACCGGCCCAGTACACCCCCCCCCCCTCACAACACCCAAGGCCCGGACCCACACACACTTCGGACGCTCAATGCAGGAATTTAAAGATGTTATTTCCAGCAGTGACTCGAGAAGGGTGACCTTTAGCGTCAACACGCTCACGTGGGGCTCAGATAGTGTCAACACACAATTCTCCCCGTACGAATCCACTGATCCATGGCACTGACTTTTGACTTCTAAAGAGGCACTCAATCAGTGTGTCTTCGCGTGGTGATTTAACTACAGCTGCAGTTGGCCAATGAATTCAAACGAATTCATTCATTCAGTCTCTCTCTCTCTCTCCTCTCTCTCTCTCTCTCTCTCTCTCTCTCTCTCTCTCTCTCTCTCTCTCTCAATCTAGACTAACCTGGATAACAGGGTAGATACAATGGCCGCGCTGAATTCTCTTACCTGAAATAAAGAAAAGAAATATATATTAGCGAAAAATAGCAATTATCTTGTTCAGGCTTTCGGAAATGCCAGGTAGGTTGACATGTGGGATGTCCAAGTGGGTGGGTAGGCCAAGACCGTGGTCCACACCCACAACAACACGCCTAAAACAGCATTTGGTGAACTTGTGTCTGGACAACTTATGACTGACGCCCGTTGAGCTTCGCATGCAAGTGTTTTTCTTCTACACTAACAAGAACACCAATACATATATACATAACCTAATCAAGCAAACATCAAGCAGGCACCTACATCAACACGTCAACATGTATGCATGAACGTTTTGAGAAAAAAACAGAACATTCTCCTCTCGAGCAAAACATTTTTAGAATTTAAAACTATGCGTGTGGACAGACTGGTGTTGTGTGTGTGTGTGGTAGCTGGAGGGTGGTACCTTGTGGGGCTCGAGGGTACCTTGTGGGGCTCGAGGGTACCTTGTGGGGCTCGAGGGTACCTTGTGGGGCTCGAGGGTACCTTGTGGGGCTCGAGGGTACCTTGTGGGGCTCGAGGGTACCTTGTGGGGCTCGAGGGTACCTTGTGGGGCTCGAGGGTACCTTGTGGGGCTCGAGGGTACCTTGTGGTGCTCAGGTGCGACCCATCAAGTTACATCCATCAAGAAGCATCAACCATCACTATATCGCATAGCACATCAACATTTTCGTAATGCAGTACACCTCGACCTCAATGTAATGCAGTACACCCCAACATCATAATGTTGGTAATAATAATGTCTGACGACCTAAATTTTAGGGAGCATAACCAAGCAAATATTGCGTCAGCCAGTAAAATGATCGGATGGATTACGAGAACTTTCAAATCCAGGGATCCCATCACAATGGTTGTACTCTTCAAGTCACTTGTGTTGTCCCGTCTTGAGTACTGCTCAGTACTCACTTCCCCCTTCAGAGCAGGAGAGATTGCTGAAATAGAGGGAATACAGAGAACATATACGGCACGCATAGACCAGATCAAACACGTAAATTATTGATATCGTCTCAAAGCTCCCCAAATGTACTCTCTAGAAAGGAGACGAGAAAGATACCAAATAATATACACATGGAAAATACTGGAGGGTCAGGTCCCAAATCTACACAGTAAAATAACAACGTACTGGAGTGAACGATATGGAAGAAAATGCAGAATAGAACCAGTGAAGAGCAGAGGTGCCATAGGCACAATCAGAGAACACTGTATAAACATCAGAGGTCCGCGGTTGTTCAACGTCCTCCCAGCGACTATAAGAAATATTGCCGGAACAACCGTGGACATCTTCAAGAGAAAACTGGACTGTTTTCTAAGAGAAGTTCCGGATCAGCCTGGCTGTGGTGGATATGTGGGCCTGCGGGCCGCTCCAAGCAACAGCCTGGTGGACCAAACTCTCACAAGTCAAGCCTGGCCTCGGGCCGGGCTTGGGGAGTAGAACAACTCCCAGAACCCCATCAACCAGGTATCATCAATGTAACGCAGTACACCCCAACATCAAAGTAAAGCAGTACAGTGTACTGCCTTACTTAAATAATACTTTAATACTAATAGGCCATAATACTTTATTTAAAGTATGATGGCCTATTACCTAGGCCGTAATACGCCTGGCATCCTTCAGTAATGGTTGTACTTAGAATAACTATTTTTCGAACATGCACAAATGGACACCATAAAGTTCACCTTCTATTATTGAATTATCTTAAATATCGCACTGCATTGTATGCATGTATATTATATATATATATATATATATATATATATATATATATATATATATATATATATATATATATATATATATATATATATATAGGTGAGGTGAGCCTTACTGAAATGTAAGGCTCACCTACCATCACAGCGAACAAAACTGAGTAATAAAGAGTGAGAAGGGAGAGGAAGCAAGAACTGGGAGGCTGCCAATACTATACATGGGCCGTTATGTAAATATGAACACGGGAAGGCATAACCCAACACCCGGATATGATCACCCAAAAGAAACAGGAGAATATAACCAAATAAACCCCAACACAACCTTTGTGTGTAGCAGCAGCAACCCTTTACCGTCACACCCTTCCCCTAACCTGCTCCCTATCCCTCCCTTCCCTTCCCTTCCCTTCCCTTCCCCAGCTCTGATCCCTATCCCTTGCCCTCCCTGACCTTTCCTTGTGATTACCTTGGGATGATTCTGTGGATCAACCTCCCCGTGGCTTGGTCTCTGACCTGACCTTTCGGTTGCCGGTCTGGTCAATCAGACTGTTGGACACGGCGGTTAGCAGCCTGACGTCAATCACAGCTTGATTGATCAGGATTTTTTTCAAGATGTTTATCAAGTTATTTCGAACACCGTGAGAGGTCGGCCAGATATGTGTAGCGGGAGAGTGTTGAAATGTGTAGAGCCCTTCATGTCGATAGAGTTCTCCCTTAGGGTAAATACTGCACATCCTGCCATGTCTCATTATCTCATGTGATGATGTTTCCGTGTGGAGGTTTGCAACCAGTGCCTCTAATATTTTCCAAGCGCAAATTATTTTGAATATCTCCTTTCTGCGCTGTCCAACCACTTGGACTGGACGGTAGACCGACGGTTTTGCTTGATGCAGGTCGGCGTTCAATCCCCGACCGTCCAAGTGGTTGGGCCCCATTCCGTTCCCCCGTCCCATCCCAAACCCTTATCCTGACCCCTTCCCAGTGATATATAGTCGTAGTTCCTTGGAGCAATTCCCTCCCGTCTTCCCTCTAGAAAATACAAATTCAAACATTTTAATAAATAATATAAATATAATAATATAATAGTCCCAATAATATAAATGTTTTTCCGTGAGGATTCTAGCAGTAAAGGGAGGCAATAATGTATTTTAGCAGTAAAAGGGAAATCTGGCATGGTTTCGTTTCCCTGAAGCCGTGTTGTTGTTGTTGTTGTTTGCTTACAAACTTAATTATATTTCGGTGTGCAATTAGTCTTAACCTTATAAATCTTGCAAGTACTTTGCATGGGATGCTTGTTAGCGACACGTCTTGTTAGCGAGGGAGCCGGTCGGCCGAGCGGACAGCACGCTGGTCTTGTGATCCTGTGGTCCTGGGTTCGATCCCAGGCGCCGGCGAGAAACAATGGGCAGAGTTTCTTTCACCCTGTGCCCCCTGTTACCTAGCAGTAAAATAGGTACCTGGGTGTTAGTCAGCTGTCACGGGCTGCTTCATGGGGGTGGAGGCCCGGTCGAAGACCGGGCCGCGGGGTCACTTAAAGCCCCGAAATCATCTCAAGATAACCTCAAGAATACGACACTGGTCTGTAGTTAAGTGCTTCATTTCTCTCTCCTTTCTTGTAGATTGGCACCACATTTGCTATTTTCCAGCAGTTTCCAAGAATTTCCCCCTTTCTAAGTGACACATTAGAGATTAGTGCTAGAGGTTTGCTGAGAGCCTGCGGCCCTTCTTTTAACACCCATGGTGATACTCTACCTGGCCCAGTAGCTTTAGTTACATTTACTGATGCTAGTTGTATCCTTACTTCCTCCCCTGCTACCTCAATATTTAATTCTATTTATCTGGGTTTTTGGAGACTCGAACCGTGGACC